TTTGAGAAGCTTGCTGCTTCAATGCCACGAAGAATTAATGCAGTATTAGAAGCAAGGGGTGGGCCAACAAAATACTAATTTTTTTTTTTATGTATGTAACGAAAAAAATTGAAATAAATCAATAAATAATGTGACATTTGGTTGTAATTTCAAATCGGGCGTCACTTTGTGACGCGACTGTACGGTACGATCAAAATTTGAAGGATAGTACCGATCTGCATGATCGTACCGTACTGATCAGCCGAACCGTACCGTACCGGTTTTCCTCCTCCCTATGCTGAATTATCGATTAATGCTTTCACGCTAGCAGCCAAGTTTCAGGTCTCGAGTCTTAGAGTTATGACCCTAACCCGATCTTCCAGAATAGGTTTGTGTCGATAACATAAGCTCTATAAGAAGATATGAATCACATGCTTTTTAGGTTTTATTTATTTATTTCAAATCATATGAAAAATATGATAGAGCCATTGAACTTGGTTAGTACGATCGGCAGTACTTATAAATGTTGCGACTTCCCCACGTCTCAGACGACAAAAAATTACTGAACTTCAAATATGTGTGAGTTGTTATTGTTTTATTAAGAAACGCATCACAAGTTAATTAATATTTTTTATTATTGTGATAAAATAGCATTCCAAGTTTCCATTAGCGACAAAAATAATCATAAAGAAAAATTAAAAAAAGCCTTAGATAACGGAAGCATTACCTATGATGCGGAACACATCCAGAATATCTTTTCAACCAAGAAAGAATCTCAACCCAATGTAATCGAGAGTTGGCAGAAGCTCTATCCCGAACTATGCGGCGACATCGAAGGTTGGAAGTACGCCTTCGTTGATAACGATAATAGACCGACCTATGATAAGCGTCAGATTTTCCCTATCCAAAGAGGCAAAGTAATGGTTTGTATTTATCTCGGTATCTTTACCACAAGTAAGCCAGATGTATTGAAGTTTGTTCATTTTCGTGCAAAAATTACCGCAAAAGTTAGACATTACGAGTTGCTCGGAAACTTTAGTAACATGGAAAGGTTTTTATTGTTCTTATTTAGTGATGGTGCTACTGAAATAGCAAATGTATTTAGTATAATTTACAATGCTCATGAAGAAAGTAAGTATACTAAGATGATCGATCAAAGTGCTGAAATCCTTGCTGCGTTATATTTGTCCGAAAAGTATAAACAAATTAGAATTAGATGGAAATGAGTTATCTAGCCTCCAGTAATCAAATCATTCTTGATTTATAAGTTTAATTTGATTAATGATTGTTATACGAATTCATGGATAAATTCGAATACATTATAAATTTATAAGAAATTATGAAATTGTTTCATTTTTGTTTGTGGCTCCTAACTTTTCTTAATTATTTGTTAGTTTATTTGCAGAAATTTACTTTTTACATTCAAAAATGTGTACTCTTCTTCGCATACAAATCCTTAAAAAGAAGTTTTTACAGGACTTATTTTAAAATAAATATGATTACATTATAAAGCACGAGAAAATAATTTAATGTAATTCCTTATGCAGTGGGACGTGCAAGATACTTAAAATATGGAATACAATAAAAAAAACATAAATAATTCGTGCATTTTCTTTTTTTGTTGTTTTGATAGGAATAATATAAACTTAAAGTTAGTCAGAGCGGTTAAAATTATCTTTTAAAAATCGAAATAAACCCATGCAATGGAGTATTTTAAGTAACTACGATGATTTAAGGTCTTCATAAGTGGTATATATTTTAATTCTTTTACGATTTTATATGTTCTATCAAGGTAAAATAGCCAATTTGAAAAGTTAGTTTTAGAATAAGGTTTTAATATAAGATAATTATTTCATTTCACAGTGTTCAATAAACACCGTAGTTACCGTTATTTTTTATAAAATCTTTAAACTTCATATTCCTCATTATATCACATGCTTAAACGAAATCGATTTAAACATTTAATTTAAAAATGATGTATTTGGTTGAAACCTGATAAAATTACTGAAATTAATGTATATTTAATAAAATTACCTTATATAAATTTGGTTTAAACGCTAACAATATCTTACAAACAGCAGAGTTCCATTCCTATCCTTCGACGAGTGTTTGTAAGAAGGTTTTCTAATGATAAATTCATAATGAATACTTTGAAGTTTTGTAACAATTTTTCGACAGATATTTAAAGAAAAGAAAGATTTCCTTAATACAAGTCTTGAACAATGGCATAACATCGCATTATAAGTAAAAGGGAGTGAACTTACATGTAAATCTGGTATATCTGGTATTTAGTAATATGCGACACAAAATTTGTATACGATTTTAAAAAGCATAAACACACCGCAGAATTTAATTTGGTCAAAGGAAATTTTTGTCAGAAATAACTCATATCCAATATGTACACATCTCAATAGTTACACACTGCTACGTTCATTAGGATAGGAATACTCGAAATTTCCAATTCAATGATTAATTTTACTAAAAAATGAATTTAATAAAGCACAAGGTTAATCATTATCACCCAACCTTAGAAGATTAGATATCTCTCGACAATGGTCGATACTATCGTATCAAGTCATCATATCGTTGCACTAGGCAAACAAGTCACGGTTTTAAATACTAGGAATTTAAGCCTTATTACGTGAGAACTGATCAGCGGCCGCCTGGCCAAGAACCTATGGATTGGGTCACTGCTATGCCACCAGGGAATACCTAATCAAATCCCGAGGGCTATCGGTATGCACTAAATATTACGTTTAGTCTACGACATGGAATGTTATATACCTAGAAATCCGACGTTTCTTCATATCTACATCAAAAGCCCATCCTCTCCTTCGAATTTCATTAAATTTCCATAATCATAATTAATATAAATATTAAATCACTAGCAACAAAGTTAGTTTCATCATTAAGTATGAAATGAAGGTTACAACAGCTGCTGTCCAACACTAAATCATTTATTTGATACATAATACCTTATGTCATTCTTGGAATTTGACTGCGCCCGAAATTATACTGCCGCGGCATTGATGCTGCTGTCATTTCTGACTTATTAGTTGGAATTTACTTTTCAGACCTTTACGAAATTTCGGACTCCTCGGTATGATGGAATGTATCAAATTGACCATTTTGACATCAAGAATCAATTAATAAGCACTCAGTCACCCAAGATTAATCATTACAAAGAATTCCATAACAAAGTCATGAGAAGGAAATTAGTTATATAAAGGATGTATTTTCAATAGGATTAGATTAAATATTTCTATTCTTCTAGACATATTTCAGAGCAATGGTTGCAATGCCTTGTGCTTCATTCTAATAAATTCCCTTCTCCATTGGATAAATCCATGAATATCCGAATATCCAGTCAAAAAATTTATCAACGAATAGAAAGAACGGATATCCGGTACAAGTAATTTTATTACACATCTTAGTAATGCACACATATAATATTATAAAAAACAAAAATAACTATTCTCTGAATACTATTATGTATAATTCTCATCACATGCTCTTACTAAATTTATTGTTAATGACTTAAAAGCCAAAGTTTTTGAATTAATAAAAGTATTGAATCCTTATTACCAATTACCAAGTGACAAAAAAAATAAAATGTCGGATCCATGAAGCCTATAATAATTGTAGCTAACTTTTAATAAAACACCCAATGAAATGCCAAGCGGTAGCTTTAAAATATGCTTCTTTTTATAAAAGCTATGAATTTTCCAAATAAAGTTGTGATTAAACCGCTAAACTTATTTACTTTATTTTAGATGGCTTCATATATGGAGCATTTTTAATTTTTAATATCGACGATTAACTTTATAATGTTTTTATGTTGCATAATCGTATTTATGGTTGTTTTAAAAGATAGAGTATGTCAAAAAAGTTAATTTTAAAGAACAGTTAATTTTCATACAAAAATTGATGTGATATATTATAATAATTTTTCTCTAAATCTGAAAGTTCTGGATCCGACCTTAAAGATTTATTTGAATTTGTTTAACAGATTTTGGGTGAAATTAAAATTCATTCTAAAGTATTGATATTATGCGGAGGTGGAATTGCATGTGGAGGCTCGTTAACTAATTAATAAACTCTTTTTTTTTTTATCACAAATGATAAAAAGAAAATATTAAAACTTACACATACCTGTACTAAATATAGGTGACGCATTTGAAGAGTGGTAAGAAATGAAAATATTCGTAAACGCTAAATTTTAATTCTCTTGGACCTTTTGATGCTCTTATCGATAATTGATTCTAGACACAACCTTTTCTTTTATGTTGTTCTCCTCTTATTCTCTTTATTTTTTACATATTCACCGAAATTCTTATATTGCCGTTAATATAAAAAATTAAATAAGCAATTACATACCTAATTATTTGGATGATGAAGAAACCTTTTTGCCAAAATGCAAAAATTGTGCGATTTCATCATAAATGTAGGTAACCAATTATCATTTAACAAATATTTTTTTTAGATTTCAACATCGCAACATTTTACTCAAAAATTTTTTAATTGCGAAATACGAATAATGAAAGAGCAAAAATTTGAAATTAAGAGGGTCTAGATCATATTGCAATTTTAGATATCGTACACTTTATATATTTATTTAAAGAGTGCAAGACACGATACGGTATGATAAAGATGTGGTGAAAGTTACAACTTTATTTATCCATTTTTTTATGTGAAAAAAATTTTTTTTAAAATTTTATCAAATCATCACATTTATTTTTAATTTTCCTGAACCAAGGTAAATTAGCTTTTCAGATGAATTATCCAGTCGAATGTCAATTGCTGAAGCAAGGTAATAACATAATGAAAATTATAGTTGTTTCGAAGTATATACTGTACATTATGTAACATAATAAATTATTAAGATGGTGGCTGATTCAGGTAATATTAAGAACTGAATTATTAAAGGAGTTGTTGACGATGAAGCAAATGAATTTCCTGGAGCGAAATTAAGATATAATAAAATTTATGAAATTTCTCAACAAGTATTTCGTTTCTGCGTTAAGCTAAATGAACATTTGTAAACATTTAGCCCATTATTATTACGAGTACATTTATATAATAATTATATTCCCATTTCAGTTTTGGAGCAACTCTCAAATTTATTTCTAAATCCACTTTATTTGAAGTTATTTATTATATCCTTGTTATTATCTTTGTAAAATATATGTAAAGACTCTAGCCATTCGCAAAGATATTTACCATGTAAAAAAAAAGAAAATCAAGACAATTTTCGAGAAATTATATATCTATAATTAAAAGAAAGAAATCTATAATCAATGAACGTGACAAGGCATATACTGTGAACTGGAAGTAGGTAGTTCATACCTTATTTTAATAATCATCTTCGTCCTCGTCATCTTTACTTGAAGGAACTTCATCTCCGCTTTCTTTGTCTTCCAATATAGTTGGTTCAACTTTACAGAAACCGAACTCTCTCCTGTAATCAGATGAACTTGGGCTTTCTCCAAAATGTATTTCCATAGAGTATTCTTCAAAGTATTTATCTTCATCGTCTTGGATAATTTCTGAATTTTTGTATAGTCGCCGTGCAGTTCTTTTCATTGCTTCTAGAGCAAGTTTCTTGGAGACGAAGCAGCGACTATCGATCTGATATTCGACTACTTTATAAGGGGAGAAAAATGTAGTCATGACCCAAGTGGTGACTTTCTTATCTGGAAGTCAGAAAAGCATAGAATTTTCAGGTCATTTTATAGCCGAAGAAAAATATAGTCTCAATACTGCACCTTTTTCTTGAGAGGTCGAATTTTTGTTATTTGGATTTTAGAGGTCGACATATTGGTTGTTTGGACTAGGGATGCTAATGGTTACGGTCATAACCGTAACCGATATCGGTCGGTCAAAGGTTTCTGACCGACCGTTGACCGACCATGACCGACCGTTACCATCCCTAGTTTGGACTGTACTGTAGTAATAGAAATATTTATAATATATTAAAACATATGATCCGTAACATGATTTTAATAGTTTAATGATTATTTAATACTTAATTTGACTACTTTATTCTATTGAAAACATATCTAATCCCTCTATTATTATAAATAACTTTGGTTACAACATTGATGTAAGCAGTAGCAGCATCAGCATTTGTGGTGGCGATAGTAGTAGCGGCAGCAACTTTAGCAGTAGCAACTTTGGCGTAATATTAAAAAAAAGAAATACTAAAATTAAATATCGCGCTTTTTTCTCAAAATAAGTAGCCAATGATTATCAATTCATGATCTTGATTGTGATATTTGCATTAGATAATATAAAATTTTTCAAGAAGGAATTATCAAATCAATCAGATATACGAGTTGCAATTAAAATCAACGATTAAAATCGGAAGATGAATATGAGGAGTCGCGTCATTTTTTAGTAGAATTTATCTTAGATAATAAC